TAAGGAGTGCACAAATCATGTGAGGAAGTGCAAGTGACTTGAAGCATGGTGCACAACAGAGGCCAGATGATGAAAGGTTTTATGTGGTCTTTACTGCAGGAGCGTGGCATGATGAGGACCGTATGACAGCAGTTTAGGGGATAGATTGGTGGGAAAAGTACTGGAAGATGAGACAGCTGATATGAAGCCATACTTCAGATCAGAAATGATGAGGAGGTAAACTGAGTCAGTGGTAGTACAGAGCAAGACGGAGGTTGCTCATTTAAGCAGTGGGTGTGACAAAGAGCTTGTTGCCTGCTTTGATAGGAGAAGATGAAGGCAAAGAGACTTCTGGAGTTTGGTCTCACCTGAGGTATGTGAAATGGAACATAACATGTGGAAAAGAAATGTGAGAACATCAAAATATATTTAGTTTTTCCCTATTTAAGGAAAGGGAAAAATGACGTTTTACTAATGTTTATTTCTTGAATTGTCAGCAGTACAAGTTTTAAAATCATTATGCTTATACTGTAGGTTGATATCCAGAATTTTTTCACTGCTAGGGGTCTGATCAAAACTGGTTGGAGATCAAGGAATGCTTTAAGGTAGAGGTTTCCAAACTTTTTAGTCTTGGGACCGCTTACATTCTTTTATTTAGGACCCCAAAGAGTTTTTGATTATGTGGATTATACTTATATTTATTCTATTAAAATTTTCTGTATTAAAAGATAAGAAATTTAAAAATATTTAAGTAATTCATTTAAAGATAACAAACCCAGTAAGTTGGAGATCAAGGAATGCTTTAAAGTAGTGGTTTCCAAACTTTTTAGTCTTGGGACCGCTTACATTCTTTTATTTAGGACCCCAAAGAGTTTTTGATTATGCGGATTATACTTATATTTATTCTATTAAAATTTTCCATATTAAAAGATAAGAAATTTAAAAATATTTAAGTAATTCATTTAAAGATAACAAACCCAGTACATGTTAACATAAATAACACATTTAGTTTGAAAAATAGCTCTGTTTTCCAAAAAAGCAAAATTTAGTGAGAAGAGTAGCATTGTTTTACATGTTTGCAAGTCTCTTTTAATGTCTGGTTCCATAAAAGACAGCTGGATTCTCATGTTTACTTTTGTACTCAATCTGTTGCAATACGTTTTTTGATTAAAGTATATGAAGAAAGTCTAGTCTTACACAAAGATGTAGCTGGAAAAGGGAAGTGTTTTTAATGGCCATCTTAGGTAATTCTAGATACTCTTCTTTGATACTGTACCAAAACTTGGTAAGTGATAGTTTTTTAAAGGTTAATTGCAATGTGGAACCTGATACCACATCAGTATACTTTCTGTACTCTGTTATATTAAGTCCATTTGTTTATTCTGTATTTGAATAGATCTTCATTCAAACTTGATTTTGTAACATCATGAATTGGTTATTCATTCACTGAGTTATGCAAGAACTTAAAAATGTTAACACATTTCATTATAAAACGTAAAAAAAAATTCACTTTTGTTAATGTCACCAACAAGCTCATCAAGCACATCAGAAAATCTTTATATATTGGGAAGCTATCAAATTCATGGTGGTGGATACAAGTTTTCTAAAACTACAATTTTGGGCTGGAAAGGTTGAATTTTTATCATTGGTGACAATTACTTTCAATTGTTTCCCTTGTTTGTTTTCAAGAAAATGTCTGCCAAATACCCAAGGTCGAATAACCAGTTTGTCTGTCAGACATTCTTTCAAATAAAAACAGTGCTGTATGTAAAAACTGGCTATTTTAGCTGGCTATAAAACAACTGCTTAAGGACTTTTCCTTGCAGCAGTAGTTATACTTCAGATGAAGCATTTAAAACAAATTTGTTTTTACTGTGAGTATATGGAGGTGAAACCTGTAAGGTATAAAATTTCATACAAATTTTTTGATTTGTGCTAAGGCTTTTGCAGTTTTACTAACCATCTCTTTTGCACCATCACCATAAATGTGAACACAGTGAAAAAAGCAGACAGCATCTCAGCATTATTATAAAAATAATTCTGGCTTCACAAACTCCATGAAAGATCTCAGGAGCTGTAGGGGTACACAGACCTCCCTTTAATAACTGCTGGTTTAAAGTCATCCTGATGCAGATGTGGAGAGAGCACTTTCTGCTTTTTAAGAAGTTAAAAAATAAAGGCATTTCAAATTTCTGCTACATTAAAAAAAATAAAAGGAATAATCTTTTCTGAATCCCATCTCCTTGAAATCACTTTAAAAAATTATTTTTTTATGTAGCTCGCCAGTTAGGTCAGTTGGTTAGAGTGGGGACTTGTAACATCAAGGTCAGGGGTTTGGTTCCCTGAAGTGACCAGCTGCCAAAAAAAACCCCCAAAAACAAACAAAAAAACCCCCAAAACTTTCTTTATTGTCTAAGGTTAAAAGTTTAGAAGTTTCTGTTCCAATTTCTTTTAACATTGGCATGTAGTAATTTGAAATGTCTTTTTTCATGTCTCCAATGCCTAATACTTGACAGAGCCCTAAACCAAATCACAGAAAAGTAAATTCATTCTCCCTCCAAAGACTTTCAGAAATGTAGTTTCAGTTAAGGGTGACGCTTTTGGGCTTCACAAAATTGATTGTTCAGAAAACGGTCTTATTTCATGTTTTAACATGTCCTATATATAGTAATAAGAACTCTATGAACTAATCCAGCTCATTTTAGTTAGTGAGATAGTATTTTTTCACTTAAATCATACAAAAGGCTGCTTTATTTTTAAAGGCTTAAAGTATAATTATTTTAATCTATATCATTTCTTTAAGAAGATTTTTTATGCAATCACAGATGATCATCTGNCTGTTCCAATTTCTTTTAACATTGGCATGTAGTAATTTGAAATGTCTTTTTTCATGTCTCCAATGCCTAATACTTGACAGAGCCCTAAACCAAATCACAGAAAAGTAAATTCATTCTCCCTCCAAACACTTTCAGAAATGTAGTTTCAGTTAAGGGTGACGCTTTTGGGCTTCACAAAATTGATTGTTCAGAAAACGGTCTTATTTCATGTTTTAACATGTCCTATATATAGTAATAAGAACTCTATGAACTAATCCAGCTCATTTTAGTTAGTGAGATAGTATTTTTTCACTTAAATCATACAAAAGGCTGCTTTATTTTTAAAGGCTTAAAGTATAATTATTTTAATCTATATCATTTCTTTAAGAAGATTTTTTATGCAATCACAGATGATCATCTGAGTCTTGGGTTGTTTTAAGTGCCAATTTCCTAAAATGTTTACACAATACATCTGTTAAGCCAATGCATTCCTTTTAATCATAGTTTGGGTAGCTATTAAAAGATGAACGTGATCTTAATAATCGCCTAGTGGGCCATAGTTAATATTCAGTTTTTAGGCTATGGCTTATGTGTTGTTTTTAGAGTGATGCTCAAGAATGGATAACGCTGCAGAAGAAAGGCAAAAAGTAAATGAGTTAGAACAAAGGAAAATTTTATGAAAAACAAGGTGGGGTCATCGGGTTCTTGACAGGGAGGAAAAGATTAAGTTGACAAGAGCTTTGAAGATGATCTGGAGGTAAATATTAGTTTTGAAAATCAAAAAGGGAAATTTAGTTGCAACATTTTTTTTTAATTTTAGAAGAATTTCAAATTTACAGAAAAGTAGAGAATAGTATAGTAAACAACCATATGCTTACCACTTAAACTTAACACTTGTTAATATTTTGTTGTATTTCCTTCCTTCTTTCTTTTTTGTGAAGGTATTTTACACTAAATTAAAGATGCCACTACATTTTACTCCTAAATAAGGTAGTATGCACCTCTGAAAGATAAAAACTTGCAAGTATAAATTTTACTGTGATGGGATGATCTGAGAACCCCAAGGGACCTGCCTGAGGGTCTTTGTTTTGCAGACTGGGTGTGCAAAGCCATGAGCTCTAGCACAACAGCTTGGTATGATGAAGGGGATTTTTAAAGGTTGTTTAGAGGACTTAGAGGAGGAAGAACACTGAGCTGAGGGCAAGGACGGGGAAGAGAGACAGACGTCTAATGGGCAAGTTTGATTAAATTTTGTTATTTGGTGTGTGATTTAACCATGTTCTCTATCTCCCCATAATGTGTTAATTTACATTTACATGATTCATTCATGCTTTAGAAATTGGATTATTTTTA